ATTATACAGTCTCCCATTAATGTGGAAAAATCACAAAGGCGGAAAAGTGGCAACATTGAACCTAAATTGCAATATTCGATATTTTATTTAATTTTTTAGTGTTTTAAACGTTAATATGAATATATAAATTAAAACTTACGTATGGAAAGTGATTCCGCTTGATTTATTATGTTTTTGTGACCTTGAAACGCATTCTTTCACTACGCATTTACCCATTTTTTGTTGTGAATCGTTCGGCTTAACTCGGACGGCGTCACCTTGAACACTGAACCGACGTTCGCTGAGTATAAGGCTGTGGCCTTATGTGAAGTGACAACGCTTTGGCGCGGAAATTACTTATTTAGTGTAACATATAAATCAATGTATTTAAATAACACCCGCTATAGAATGCCTCCACCGCACCTAGGTCTACCTAAGATTATTCACTACTGCCCAGAAACTATCATAATAATAAAAATAAACATAGTTATAAAGAAGCAAAAAACATAGTTAAATAAAATATTTTCTCTGACCTTTCTCAAATTCTGCAGTACTATTACTTTAAACAAATCAAGACAAATGCACGAGTATTATAATAGATTTTTGCACCAGTTGGATACGAGATTTGTACTGTTTTATTATCACCATCACCGCAGCCTATCAAGTCTACTGTAAAATACATGCAGCATGCTCCCCCATAGACTGCTTCATAGGGAGGACATTTGCCACAGCTGCCTCGCTCGCCAGGAGAGTTGACAATCGCAGCCCTTTATTATTTTAGAGGCAGAAGATATTTCTGTCCGTTTCTGGTTAATTTTTCTTCTGCCCCCTTTTACCACGAGATGACACAAGGCAGTGTTGCACTATATGTCAAGTTTTTATATATTCAGTTTAAGCGTATTTTATCCTCCCCGTGTAACAACCGTGTAACCTTCAGGAAACAACTTCAGTTATTAAAGCGATTGTTCTTATTAATAGTCTTAAAAGCACATGTTCCAGTAAACTGGAATATACAGTTCCAGTACTGGTGTAACACAACACGGTACACCCACAGAAGCAACGGTACAATAAATAAAGGCAACCGCACAATTACAACTCTATACGAATTCAGAGCACCTTCATATTGCTACGTAACGGTATGAGGGGCGGCCATGCAATCACTATATACTATATATTTATACACCATATATTTTATACACGGGTTTACTTTTTTAAAAGTACGGAGGAATTAGTTATTGCGCAAAATGTTTTTGTTTCATTTTTATTTGCATTTTCAAATGAAAGGTTTTTCTATTATAGTTCAATATTTAACATAAGTTTATATGGCTGCCATTGTTTGTGATTTATTTTCGACTCAGTAACAAAATCAATTTGGACTTCAGAAAAATTATAAATAAACGTGGTGATATTATCTATTATTATATTAAAAATTCCTTTTATTAAATTATATAATTTTTGATGCCCTATGGACTTCTCTAATAAAATGTAGTTATATACAGTGAAACCTTACAACTTTGCCCTTGGGGGATATCTTTGCCCAAACACGAAAATTAACTAAAACTACCGATAGACATTTTATTTTAACAAATGTCAACTTTGTATGGTATCTAGGGAAAACTAGAGGATCTGTTTGACAGCACTGAATACTACAATCGCAGCTCACTATATTCAGGCATCAGTCAGCAACCGTCAAACGGACAGTGTCGACGGTGGCGCACAAACATTGTTGCAGTTTTGCATCCCGCATTGGCAAGAAACGCTGCGCAGGTGAGACTCGTTGTTATTTACTGTAGCGCATTAGTTGCTGCTGCTTTTAATCAAGGTCTCTTTCCTACACTTGTCTTAGTTAGCGAGAAAATTGTGAGGGTCATGTTGTAAGCAATTTTATAAACTGAGCTCGACAATATTGCCCAGCTCTATGTTATTAGGGTTGACACTATTGAAAAAAAAACTAGGAAACATGTACCTAGGTATAATAAATAAAAATTAAATATGTGTAATAAAAATGTAAATATATAGGTATACTTAATAAAATAAACAAATGTATATAGGTATATAAAAAAAACTGTATAACAATAATTACTGTTAACTGCAAACTAAACTACTGTCCTGATAACTATTTAGGTAACTAGATACTGCTTTATATATTATTTTAAATATAATAAATAGGCATACCTATAGTATTTGTGGGGAATTTTTGTCAGAAACCGCTAGTTTTCCAAAAGAGAGAGCTTAAATGTTCTTAGTTTCAAGCTAAAGTTTTTAAATAATATTTATGCGTCAATTCGTTTGCAAAAAAATAAAGTCTAAAAAAGAATTGTCTCCTCAACGACAGACATTTACGATCGTAGACAAAACGGATTGGTACGTACAGTTAGTGAACCACGCACATCAGTGGTAACAAATCAGTATAAGCTGGCCTCGTATTATATTAAATAAGTATCGTAGCTATTTATTTTTCCTTATCTCAACTATCAAGGTTAATTTTTGAGACAATTTTCTAGAACTTTCCTACCTAAACATTAATTTTCTTGATTTTTTTTTGTTGTTCAGTTAGTTTTTTTAATTTTTAAAATAAAATATACATTATTGACTTAAAATCAGTTTATTATTTTCCTTTCATCTGATGCACAGCCCTAGCACCCCAAATCTTAGTATGAAAATGTGACTGAATGTGGTGATAACATTGCCCACCACCATTAAAACTTAAAATGGACTTCTACTTATTTGAAAATGTAATGGTATACCATTTTGCCGGTTTGCTAACAAATATCTTCAAATCAAACTCATAGAACTTATAGTTGCTGAGAAATTTAGGTTGAGCAAAGATGTAAGAAAGTGGAGATAACTTTGCTCGCGTCTGTTTTTGCTTCTTTCTCAGCGTCTGTTAGGAATTAAGTCACCTGGGTTTGACGGTTTATTTGTTGCAGAGAGAGTCATTTGAAGCTTCAGCAACCATCAAAATAAAGTGGCTATTTTTTGAAAAAAGTAATAAGAACCGAAATATGTGGGCAAAGATGTAAGGTGTCACCGTACGAGTATATATAGACTCGTTGTTTAATACTGCTTTCTGATACCCATTTTCTTAAAACGATTATTTACATTTATTTGTATTTTCCAGCTTATGAAAATAAAGTGATGATATTCATTAATTAAATTGACTTTTTTAATTGAATTGATATTCTACAACTAGGAAAAACCGACATGAGTTCATCCAGAATAGCCATTGTTTTTATGGGAATTTGAGATATTAGAAATAGTTATATTTAATGGGCGAATTAAAGGATATTCATCTGTTTTCTGTTTTCATTTAGCGTACACACAATTGAACATTGTTTTAATATGGCGGGATATCTGACACAATATGTCGGCGTCACGCCAGTACAACATGGCGTCAAATAATGACGTCATTTGCATTCGCCAGCAAACTGGGAACATTTCGGAATATACCCAGTAAATACCTCCACTGGAGACGACGGTACTGATATCAAAGGCGTTTCCAACCTGTATACTGTCTTTAAACTATGATACCACATAGCGACAGCCTGCTATGCTAGGATAATATCTGTGATATGCTTCAACTAGAATTGACTACAGATTACAATGATCACACGTTGTTGTACATACGCTATCCACGTACACTATAAATAAAAATTAACTAAACACAGCGGTACACACGAACTATCACAAATGTATAAACAAAAACAACAAATAAATATTAAATACTATTTCAAAACCTTTAAGGTTAATATTTTTACATTAGAAGTAAATACAAAATGTCATTTTTTTACAATTTAACAAGGCTACACGGGACAACTAAAACAAAAAGAGAAAAGGAAATAAAAAGTTATTTCCGTTTTTGTTCGCAGACGGATGTGGTCAGTACAGATATACTTTAGGCTTTAGTCCGTAAAAACCAATGTCATTTGAAGTAATGCTTAAGCTTACTCCGTCGTCATTACATGACAATAAGAACAGAGGTACAGAGGTAGTTGTACTTAATTTAAATAAGCGATACTTGCGGCGCAAACATGAAAAGATTTACACGCAGAGTAAAGTGAAGTGTGGTTAGTGTTGTATTGCGCCTGATGCTACTCAGTGCAGGTGAGAACAACTGCTTGGTTTATTTATATATGTATATAACATGTAATAGACCACGGGATATTATATAATATCCAGGCAGTCTGACCAGTACCCAATAGGAATAGGCGAAATGATAAAAACTATTGAATTTGCCGGGCTTTAGGAATGAAGTCCGTTACTTATTGGGTACTGTAGTAAAAAGATAAATACTGCATGGGTCCCCATGTTGCATGGGCCTTGTAAATAGTGCCCTGATTAATCACTTGGTTCATGACACGTTAAATAATAATACAACTTGTTCATAAAATAAGCCGCGTGTGTTGATGAGTGATGACAGAAAATGATAAAATACAATACCCGCCATATTTGTGTAGAGACGAGTGTGTGTGTGTGTGTGTGGCCATTGAAGTAATATATACTACGTACTACAAGGTACAGCGGCGAACTTTAATGTTTGCAACGCGAGTAGTAAAATTATTTAGACTAACTGACTAAAACTCGAACAAAATGTTATTTCCCAGCGAGTTATTGATTGTACTCTTATAACTCGGATTTCAAAAACCAGACTCCGTAAGTTGAAGTCAGTAAAATTTTACTTATAATTCCCCGAACTCATAGCAACAAAATGCAAAAGGAATGTTTGTTGCTTTTGTTATATTGTGTGTATTTTCTAAACGTGCAATGAATGAATACACTCATTAAATATTTTAAGTAACACATCTATGTACTTTTATATGCGGAAAAATCTCATAATTCTTGTTATGTCGAAAAGTCATCAATTCGAATTTTTAGCATTTCCCTTGAAATTTCAATTATAGAGATTCTAATGTATTACTTCAATGGTGTGGTGTGATGTGGTGCGTGCGTGTGTGCGCGTGCGTGTGTGTGTGTGTCTGAGCGCGTGTGTGTATGTGCGCGCGCATGTGTGTGTGTGCGTGCTACAGCGAGTAGAGATGCAGGTCAACGCCCCATCCAGTGGGTGCGGTCCAGGCGGGCAGTGCGTCCAGCAGCCGGCGGTGCGCGTCTTCTAGCTTGTCCTCGCCGAACAGACTGTGCCCCGCCACGGACACGTCTACTAACTTCTCCGGCTCCCTCTCCAAATTATGCTGGAAGTACAAATAACAGGATCTTTATGACTCAAAATCAGGCGTTACTTTGCGGAAATCCATAATACTTAAGATGATAACGTCATCCCTAATTAGTAGGGATGGGCCGGATATGGATTTCACCGAATAAAATTTTTACCGAACCGAATATTCGGCAGGATTACCGAGGTACCTAACCAATTTATGTCGAAACTTGTTACCGTAAAGCGCGCGGGATTACCGCCAGAGCCTTCCCCTTGCTCCTCCGCCACACATGACATGTTATTGCATCATCCAGTACTGAGCAAATTGCCGGCTCATGCTTATGTTTTGACTATTTTTGTGAGAAAAAAGTATTATTAGTAAAAATTGATAAGTATGCGATGAAAATTAGTGGCAGGAGATCTACTATTTGGGACAATTTTGGAGAAACTGAGGACTGTAATGTAATGTTTCTTTGTTTGATTCCAAACAAAATTTTATCAAGCTTTCTATTTTGCTACAATTGGAAATAAATCTACAGTGCCTCAAAAACATATCGTTATACAAGTAGATTTAATCCATAAATAAATATACTTACAACAGTAAAATGATTGACTCAATTCGTACATTTCCATACATTAGATACTTTGAGTACCATTATAACGAATATTCGGTGATTTAGCCGAATATTCGGCCGAATACGAATATTCTGTAAACCTGCCGAATATGCCGAATACCGAATATAAAACGAATATTCGGCCCATCTCTACTAATTAGTGTGTATGTGTGTGTGTGTATGTGTGTGTGTGTGTGTGTGTGTGTATGTGTGTGTGTGTGTGTGTGTGTGTGTGTGTGTGTGTGTGTGTATGTGTGTGTGTGTGTGTGTGTGTGTGTGTGTGTGTGTGTGTGTGTGCGTGCGTGTGTGTGTGCGTGTGTGCGTGCGTGCATGCGTGCGTGCGTGTATACCTGTATGTGCAGCTCCAGGTGCCAGGAGGGCTGCGGGCGCGCGTGGTGCAGTGCGAAAAAGTAGGTGTGGCGGTCACCCCAGCGCGGCCCCGCCAGCGGGCGCGCCACGGCCGAGCTCCAGCTGACGCGCGCGCCCGCCACCGGCGACACCACGCACACCACGTACCGCGCACCGTCACCTGCCACCGATATGCATAATGTACAGCCTGACTCTACTGGCAACGCATATACTAGTCAACGCTTTTCCACTATAGTTCTTTAAATACAGCGTGCAGTCGCATGCGGGGCGCGCTGGCGACGAGCAGCTGGTGGCCCCGCGCCACCGGGATGCGGGCAGCGCCACTCACCGTGTAGGTGCAGGTGTAGCGCGGTCAAAGTGCCGTTGGTGCGCGAGCGCTGGAGGCGCTGCAGCTGCAGGCGCGCGTGCAGACGCGTGAGGGGCGCGCTGGCTGCGGGCAGCTGGTGGCCCCGCGCCACCGGGATGCGGGCAGCGCCACTCACCGTGTAGGTGCAGGTGTAGCGCGGTCAAAGTGCCGTTGGTGCGCGAGCGCTGCAGGCGCTGCAGCTGCAGGCGCGCGTGCAGACGCGTGAGGGGCGCGCTGGCTGCGGGCAGCTGGTGGCTCCGCGCCACCGGGAGGCGGGCAGCGCCACTCACCGTGTAGGTGCAGGTGTAGCGCGGTCAAAGTGCCGTTGGTGCGCGAGCGCTGCAGGCGCTGCAGCTGCAGGCGCGCGTGCAGACGCGTGAGGGGCGCGCTGGCTGCGGGCAGCTGGTGGCCCCGCGTCACCGGGATGCGGGCAGCGCCACTCACCGTGTAGCTGCAGGTGTAGCGCGGTCAAAGTGCCGTTGGTGCGCGAGCGCTGGAGGCGCTGCAGCTGCAGGCGCGCGTGCAGACGCGTGAGGGGCGCGCTGGCTGCGGGCAGCTGGTGGCCCCGCGCCACCGGGATGCGGGCAGCGCCACTCACCGTGTAGGTGCAGGTGTAGCGCGGTCAAAGTGCCGTTGGTGCGCGAGCGCTGCAGGCGCTGCAGCTGCAGGCGTGCGTGCAGACGCGTGAGGGGCGCGCTGGCTGCGGGCAGCTGGTGGCTCCGCGTCACCGGGATGCGGGCAGCGCCACTCACCGTGTAGCTGCAGGTGTAGCGCGGTCAAAGTGCCGTTGGTGCGCGAGCGCTGCAGGCGCTGCAGCTGCAGGCGCGCGTGCAGACGCGTGAGGGGCGCGCTGGCTGCGGGCAGCTGGTGGCCCCGCGCCACCGGGATGCGGGCAGCGCCACTCACCGTGTAGGTGCAGGTGTAGCGCGGTCAAAGTGCCGTTGGTGCGCGAGCGCTGGAGGCGCTGCAGCTGCAGGCGCGCGTGCAGACGCGTGAGGGGCGCGCTGGCTGCGGCCAGCTGGTGGCCCCGCGTCACCGGGATGCGGGCAGCGCCACTCACCGTGTAGCTGCAGGTGTAGCGCGGTCAAAGTGCCGTTGGTGCGCGAGCGCTGGAGGCGCTGCAGCTGCAGGCGCGCGTGCAGACGCGTGAGGGGCGCGCTGGCTGCGGGCAGCTGGTGGCTCCGCGCCACCGGGATGCGGGCAGCGCCACTCACCGTGTAGGTGCAGGTGTAGCGCGGTCAAAGTGCCGTTGGTGCGCGAGCGCTGCAGGCGCTGCAGCTGCAGGCGCGCGTGCAGACGCGTGAGGGGCGCGCTGGCTGCGGGCAGCTGGTGGCCGCGCGCCACCAGGCTGCGCACGGGCAGGTAGTACGGCGCGCCGCAGTACACCCAGCGCGCGCAGTCCTCGGCCGACGTCACCTGCGCCGCCTCCATGCCCTCAACTGAAACACGCCCTAAATGTTTACGAACTTACGTTTCATTTCCGTATCTAATAAGTAGTACCTATAAATGAAAGGGATTAAGAGGATACCTTGAAAATGAATCGAAGTTTTGGGGGCGTGGCTTATTCATATGTCGGTGAAGCTAACGGACGACTGAGCGCTCGGAAAAAAACTAAGTAAGCTCCAAATAACATTTTTATTTATTTTAACAACACTTCGTTATGGATTAAAAAACTGGTTTATGAGAAGTTAGATATGATTATTTACTATGCTTTAAAAATAATTCCATTAACTTATTCGTAAGAATATTGTAGTGTCGTGAAAAAATGTAAATAATTAGAGCCTACTTTGCAGTTTTTTGCTATCGAGGAAATTTCATGATATCGTGTTTTCCTTTTATGCAATCCCAGGTCATATAGTCAAAAATCATATACCAAAATGTTGGTTTGTAATCTATAAAACTTAAAAAAATATGTTAAATAGAAAAACCACCAAATTTTCGAGATATCACCTGGCGAGGTACCACCCAGCCTGGCGAGCGCCGCTTATGAAACAATGCGAGAGGCTTGTGATATTTACAGACCAGTAAATTATAAGATGAACAAGTAGGACTTCCGCTCTCGTCCTCGTGTTTTAACAGCACTTTTTTATACTGTTTAAAATAAAAGTCGCCTCCACACTAGAATTTTCTCCAATATCATAAAGGCAGTTTATAAAGTTTGTACATAAGTTGCACAAAAACAAACATCCAGAGCCGAAACAGTTATTTGTAGGCCACACAAATACTTATTCCGTGCGGGATTAGAACCCACGCCCCCCCCCTTCCCCCCAGCGCTACAAATATTTACTACGCCACTGCACTACGGAACTCTCAAATTAAACACACACCGTGTACGATGACAGGTTTTATTATATAGTACAGAACGTTGTACATATTTAAATTAGGAACAAATTGTGGATGTGTTCCGAAATGTCCCTCACTGTGCGTTAATCTCTAAATATTGCAAGATCAAGTTATATTTATAACTGAAATAAAAATATTTTAATTGAGCTAGGTTACTACATTACTAATTACATTAAACTACTTTGAGACATCTTTACTGAGAGCATTAAGTGATAGGATTTATATTGTTTATATGAGAATTGTCTATACATAATAAATATATTGCACATGAAATCGAGTAGTTTACTTAAACATGATATGAAAAATACCTTGAACATAAACGAAAACATTAAGTTTTCTTGTAAAAGGTATATTTAACTAATGTAGAAACTATTAGCAGTTAGCTTCAGGTACAGTCAGCGAGCAATCACGGGTTGTTTACTTCGTGGTTCGTGTAGTATCGGCTACTTTTGGTTTTAACACGGCCGTTAGTAAGTATTGGTAATTGAATGTTGTGTATTGTGTTGAAGATGAATGTTGGAAATTGAACGTTCTTTACATTGCTGTGATGTATTAGATGTAAGTATGTAATAGAGGCAATATATATACATACATGAAGGAAAATGCATATTGTATGGATGGAGGAGTGTAAGATTTGGTATAGTTAAAGTTTATATGAAGAACGATTGTGGAAATCCAAAAATGACATATATATAATGTGCTGTTTTTTACAGAATAATGGCGAAAGTAGAGTATACAGTCCTTCTGATGGTTAAAGTGCGCCGTGGTCTATATATAACTACTTCTAGATTCGACTAAGAATCAAAATGTAGATGCGTTGTCATTTCTGAGGGCTAAGATGGCACGTATCGTTTCTAGTAAAAAGGGTCATTGGTTTTCTACACTCACCATGGAAACCACTGAACCACAGTTGGTATTGTGTCAGAATGTGGTACTGCCCTGGTGAAGCGGATCTATTGGTGGTGCAACTCTACTGTAGCAGCAGCGCGGCGCCACCGCGGACAATCGAACGGGACATTATGAGCGTTAATTGCGGTAGAATTTCGAGCATTGAAGTAGCAAAAGTCGATGGTTGCAGGTGGGTCAGCAGCGTGCTGGTGGCATTCCTCGGGAGAGGGCTATGTTCAGCAGTGAAATTGCGAAGGGCTGTAATGATGATGATGATGATGAATGTTAAAAGTAAGTAGTACGTACCGATGCCTAGCAGCGAGCGCGGCGTGTTGGTGTCTATCTCGGGCAGCCAGTAGAGCAGCTGCGGCGCGGCGCCGGCCGCGTGCTCGGTGCGGCGCACGTGGAACAGCAGCACGCGCTGCGGCCGCGCGGCGCTGTACGCGGCGCCCGCGCCCGCACCCGCGCCCGCCGCCAGCGCCAGCGCGCTGCTCGCCGCCCACATGCCCGCCATCGCCCACAGCTGCCACACACAACACAACAATCACTCACTACTCTATTTTACTCATTGTGCTTTCTGTCACCCGCTGCATTTACCATCTTAACAAAACTGCCTAACTAATGTTCATTGAAATACGAATGATTCAACCCCACCTACCTGCTTTGTCCGTGCCTCCCTGACTTACACATATATTTATTAGATTATAGTTTACTACATTTCCACCCCGCGGTTTCGACCACATTGAGTCAAATTTTCCTGATAATAAAGATCGGTCGACGCTCATAGACAACTGCAATACCAGGCAAACTACAGATGCGTTGCCGCCCTTTTTAAAAAGACCAAACTCGTTTCTTAAAGTTCTCCCCGAAGTCGTATATTCTTACACCACCAGTACACAGTCAAACAAAACCTGTATAAAAAGAGTTATTATAATACTGAGAAATATATAAATTACGCTACCATACTGATTTTATTATAATCAATAAATTCAAAAAAATGTCGTAAAATTTTATGTGTAGCTAAGCATCTCTGGTTTCTTACTCGTTCTTCCCAAGCTTTCTAAAAATAAATTAAGTGAAATTCTTTAAGCCTTGAAATTTCAGATGTAACTTCATCAACTTTCAGTGTAACAAAAAGCAATCATGGCAATTTTATTAACAAACAGCATCGTCGCGCAACGAACCAACTTGTCGACGTTGTTGGCAGCCACCACGAGCGGCAGCGCCCAGCTCAAGGCCGTGATCGTCAGCGCTCCCACCAACACCGCCATTATTACCTGTAATTTGTCATCATAACATATATTATTTTTATGATTTGGATGAACACTTGTACTAGTTTCACAATTGTCATATGTATTGTACAATTACTAAAATGAAACTGAATTTCACCAAGCAATAACAATCGCAAGTATAAATTATATTAGAGCTTTTATATCGGCGACAGTCACTAGCGTCAATACATAACATACATACATAAACAATCACGCCTGTTACCCAGAAGTGTAAGCAGAGACTACAGATTTCCATTTGGCATGATCAAGACACACCTCTCTCGCCTCTTCCACATACATATACCTACGCATACATGCTCGTCGGTGAAGTGTACTCTTAATTTGGCCGCTTTTCAATAAATCGCCAATTTGGTCGACAAACTATCGCCTAGGGCGTCGCTTACCGACTCTGCCGTTCACTTCTGTAACATAAATTTGCTCTGTCACTCTTTCCTCATTCATTATTTCTACATGACCAAACCACCGAAGCATTCCTTTCTTAATCCTCATCGCAACATTATCCTGCATACATATATGCATAGCGTCAATAGTTGCGATAAAATTTTGTAAAATAAAATTTGTCAACATGTAACATAATTTAATTTTACTGGCACCAAATAAGCGTATTTTACTCTGTAAATTCATAAAATAATTTTGGCTGTTAAGACGTTTATACAATTTTAAATCATATACATACATAGACTTATTATACTACTGCGTATGGCCTGTCCATTAAACAAACAAAATGGCACGGACTCATTGGTGCTAAAATATTTATGGAGCACCAACGCGACCACAAATGCGTGCCGAGCGTCCGTGCAGTGTTTCCACTTTTAGATATTTTGCACTATTTTAGGTAAATCTACTAATACATGGAGAGTTTAGGCGTTTCTTCAACTTAAAAAATTTTGGATAATTTGGGGTAAAACCGAACTTCATGCAACCCTGATTTTCATTTCCACCCAATGTATTTTTTTAAAGATTTATCAAAGGGGATAAGGTCAAAAGAGCTAGAAAAGTATAGAAATAAAAAAGTTATTCTTCAAGAAATAATACAATAATGGTATATTTTTACTTAGTTACATATTCGTTATTCATTTTCATTTTCAAGACTAAGTGTTATTATAATTTGAAAATGAGAACGTCTTTTTCATAACTAAAATCAAAAATTTTAATGGTGAAATGATATTCAAATCTTGTAATTATGTTGTTCTTTAAAATATTGAAAATTGGGTGTAACAAATAAGGCTATTTTGATTTTATTTAAGTATTTCTACAGGTTCTAGGGTAAAACCAAAATAGTTCATGAGTATTTAAGAGATGGCGCTGATATATTCTATGCTCTAATGTGTACATACATTTTAAAAGAACAAATTCAATTCTTTGGCAGGTCAATTAAAGGCTTAATAAAAGGCAAAGAATTTAACAATCAATTTGGTAAAACGTTCTACATTGGTGGTCTCAAACATCCTACAAAAAGGTACGTTCAGATTTAGTTCGCAGTCTGTGTTGCAATAAGTAGTACTAGTAGTAGTATTAGTATTGGTAGTACTAGTAGTAGTATTAGTGCAATGGAGAGGCCTGTGTCCCTAGGAGGATTTGTTACGGGTTGTAACGAGGATGATGATGATTATGTGTAAAACCCGATAAATGTATACTGTAAGGATACTACATATAAGCAGTAAATGAAACCACAAGTAATACCATTCGATAGAAGTGTAATAAAATTAAATATTAATTTTGTAATGTATGTATATAGCTTGAACGAATTAACCACTGGACCCGACATATAAGCGGACGTACCTATACCGGTCTTGTCGGTAACCAGGAAGTTCTAGCCTTGGTCGTTTGTTTTTGGGTCAGTCTCAAGCACTTACTTGTCAACTAAACATCTCCCAAAAATTACTAAATGTTCAGTTAAATGGTGTAAAAACTATAGCGACGGAAAGAGCACTATTTCTTTTCACTTGTAAGTATATTATTTTATAACATTTATTGTTATTTATCACAAAATTTAATCAAATGTAAAATAAAATTCTGTATTATCCAACTAAGTTAAATGTAGTCGATATTTCTATGTATTGTTGACATCTGACAACCATCACAAAATGGCTGGATTATACCATTCAGAACGACTGACTAAAACTGTGGAGTGAGTCAATTTGACATCGACTATTGCTTGACCATGTCGAAAAATATATCGATATTTGACGATATGACCGAATGAATGATGTTATTTGTACAATAAAATAACACTTAAAAATACTTATGTAACAGTATCCTACAATCTGTCATTAAATTTATAATAGTTATTTTCATAATTAAATAAAAATATTATAAATGCAAAAATTATAATTAGTATCTGTACTTAAATATTTAAACACATAAATTACACGAATTTTCAGATTTCCCAGTGACCCTTCTAGTAAGAGAAAGTGGGTAGATGCAGTTCGTAGAGGTGAAACCTGGATTCCGACGAAACACCGCCATATGCAGTGTACATTTCGATACTGCCATTGAAAGATGAAGGCAGTCTTATTGCCCATAAAGGCAAGGGAAAACTGATACTCCCCTCAAGTGTTACCATAGCTATTTGTTAGCACTGCTAACTCGAACTTAGAAAGGGTGTTCAGAAAAAAGACTAAAAAAGATTACACAACAGACTTTCTCCTGCCGAAAGTAACAAAAACATTGCTGCAACTTGCGTTGTACGAAGACATTAATTTCTACAAATTTGAAAACAACGACGTGAATCACATCGAAGAATTAACGAAAGTCGTTCCTGAAAAGTATTTAAATATTAGAATTGTTTATACCAGAAAACAAGCGAACAAAACAAATTCTAAGAAAAACATTTTAAGGAAGATTATACATAATAAGTCAGTAAACCTATTTAAAAAATTTGACATTTATCATAACTATAATTGAATAAAAAGTCCAAACAATGTCCTGCTTCTTTTATTTAAATTAAAATTTAAATAGCGGATGCTTACCTCATCTTCATTATCTCTTTATTTCCTTTGTCTTACAGCTTATTTACGATACTCCTTTTTATTTCTCATTTGTTCATCGATATATTTTATCGACTACGATCAAGCACTAGAAATAGAGTAAACTTCTACGAATTTTGTATCTGTGTTTATATTAATGTAATAAAATCTTTGTTTGCGTTATTCTCCACTTGGTTGAACGAGTTTTCATACATTTGTGTTTTATGCCGAGTCCAGTGGTTTATTCGTTCAAGGTATATAGATTTAGGTAGCTAGCACGAGATTGTCCGTGCGGCGGCAGTCGGTAATTAAACATCTTAGCGAACACACGGTGTATTATTTAAACATGAAATATTTAAAACCCGTAAATTAAAAAATTTAAAAGTTCAAACAAAATGAATATCTATATAAATTCAGTAAAAGTAAACACTCTGTTTAGACTCGTACCTTGAGCCCTCGGAAGAGTTGCAACATTGCACGCGGGCGGCATGGTGGCCGCCAGCGTTATTGTCGGCACCACACAATAAGTACCTTTGTATAAACCTAAAGTCGGCACGGCCTTTTATTCGTTGGACAATGTGCAACAAAATAAAAACTTACTCACTAAACTTTTCACTTTACTGTTTACTTTTACCGCCACTTTGTTATATTGCGATAACAAAACTGAACGAAATAAATGTTATTGCACATTAGTTCAAAAAATTAATGGAACCTTAAATTTTTAAATTTTCAAAATGTCCGCCTCGTTATTGATACACATGTTACAACGTCGCACAATGTTCTCTCGAAGGCTGCTTAACAAATTTCGTTTAGGATCCAAAGTCAATGCTTAAAATTTGCGATGACAAAACAATTGCGCAGTTTATCTTTGGTTTCGGAGATCTTTGATTACAATAAATTTTTAATAAAGCCCCATAAAAATAAGTCTACAGGAGTGAGGTCGGGCGACCGCGCTGGCCACTTGCGAGGGCCATAGCGCCATCCATTGTTCGCCGAACATGGTGTTAAGCCGCTCTCTCGCGAGAAGTACGGAATGTGGGGGGAGCTCTATCTAACTGGCATATATACTGGTAAGCTACCACAGACAATCCTTCTAAATATTTTGTTATTGGACCGGTAACTTCGAGTATTAAATCAAAATAGACGGCATCACAAGGTATGCCTTGCGACGCCGCCTTTGTAAAAGGTACGAGAGTCCGACTAATGAGTCGGACTCTCGTACCTTTATTTAAACTAGTTGCTCCGCATAGTGCGTCATTACGCAAGTAATCATGCCAGTCAATTGAGCTCCAACAAAAATGCCGAATTGCAGTGTATTTTTATGGAAAAAACAATTAAAAACGTTAAATCTACAAAAGGACAACGCAAATTTTCATCTTACTTTTAACATAATATTATCGTTAAAACTTGTATTTTCTGAATATTTTCGTAAAATAACAAGTGTTGACAGCATAGTTCATAAAGTGAAAAATAAGCGATTTTAAAATAAATATAATTTACTACACAAAATAAATATATTAATGCAAATTTATTTCATATTTAAGCTAAATCAGTTTGTGTTGAATAATAATCATTTCATTATATAATATGTGTATTGAATTTTGTCAAATGATTTAAATATTCAGCTCAATCCCAACACGATTCTGAATATATTATAATTTAATATAATCGATAACTAGTCTTTATCAAAATATTATACAAAATAAAGGCCAAATAAGTAGAATCGAAACTTGCCACTTTGTAGTAAATGTATGCATTTTTTGTAAAATAAACTGGTATCACTGCAACCGATAGTACTGCAATGTGATGTGATGTACGCCACAATTTTTCCGGTGGTAGAGCCCCGCGGCAGCTTTGCTGTTGCACGTATGGGCCCGCTCAAACCGGGGTGGTACCACGACCTCACAGAATACCGGCGTGAAGTGCTGCTTCCGCGGTTCGTCCGGTGAGTGCAGGTGGCCGTAAGCCCAAATCCGCCCCCCCCCATCAACATGGTAGCGGAATTAAATGGTAAAC